ATATAAGAATTTAACACATTATTGAAAGCTTATAACACGACTGTGAGAAAATCCTTCTGTAAACACCACCTCGAGTCAACACTCACACTTTCACTTTAAATAACATCGGTCACTTCTTGTTGATTGGTCAAACACTGACCTCTATTTAGTCGTGGAAAGTTTAAATATTTTAACCACAAATTTACAAAGTGAACGTAAAATACACAATACCTTAAACGAGAGTTACATGGAAACTTGATGAACTCTATAAAAAATATGTGTGTGAAATTATCAAAAGCCTACCCTCTAATTTGTAGTAGTCAACATACATTTTTTGTGCATATACATTATAAATTACTTTTGGAAGAAATGAAGGGAAAAAAAATAGGTACATGTAACAAAGATCATTTGTTTTTTAGGTCATGGGTTTAACAGTGCAGAAATGTACCTACATCTATCAATTTTTAAGGTGGCTATATTTTCTTCCTAACCAGTAACTAGTTTTAGAATATACAGTAGTCATCATATATGTATATTTATTTCTCGGCAAACAATCCTAACAAAATGAATTGGGGTTTAACATCCAACTTTTCTAGACTAATTGGGATGATGAAGACGAGTATACAATGTATGCCATGTAGTGTGCTATGAAGGAAATTTTACCTGGACAGCAGCCCTACGATCTACTACTTTTATTTCAAATTCAAATTGTCAAGAGTTCTTTTATATACATGTACATGTGAGAGAGAGAGAGAGAAATAGGATTTAACTTCCACTTGATACAAACCATGTCATTTTGGGACTAACATATGGTTAAATTTTATTTTAATAATTCTTTAGCTTTGGGGTCTTTAGCAGTGGAAGGAAACCGCAGGGCCCAGAGAAAACCCACAAGGTTGGACAGGTGACCCTACTCCATGTCATTACAATCGGGGAATCGAAACCACAGCATTTGACTCAATGACAGACCTTCCGATCCAACACGCACGTGTAACCCATTCGGCCACCCAACCCCCCCTTACAGTACACAATTGTACTTTTTAAAAGTTGTATAAAAAAATATTGTGTTCTTGAATATGTCCAATTTAACAGCGAATATATTATTATTAGGTAACATACTAAGAACCTAACTACATTTTTTGGGCACCAACCACCACAGCCCCCCAATGCGTGTACATGCCTGTGCATCAGAAAGAAGATATACATGCAATCTGATTACAATAAAGATTTATATTTCGTTCCGTTTATTTTATACTTTCGATGGCTTCTACTACATGAAGATCTGACCGGTTGCAATGAAATGTCACGTCAGAGGTCATACAAGCGTTTTTTGACAATATGACGTCAGACATTTGATTATTCAATCAGCATTGATGTTTCTAGTGGATTACCCACAGTTTAATGCACCTCACGCCAAAAACTCACTTAACAGAATGTTCCACTGACTAATCCCCCAAATCATCCAGAAAACGTCAATGATAACAACTCTTCCAGATCCTAGTGTATTAAAGACAAGCATTACGAAATTTTGAAGTATAAAAAACGAAATGAAATAGGATCTGTGTTTTAATCAGATTGATATACATCTACCCTTGTTACTGTTGTTTAAAGGGACAATAACACTCTTGCTGGCTTGAAAGCTCCAGAAAATAAATAATATCTCTATCTAAGTACTAGATGGTTAAGTGTCATACCTGTTGTGTAAAATTATCCATTACATCCTATTTTACTTGTCCAGAGGGTTCGAAAATATTTTTAAATCGAAGTTTCATTTGAAAAGTTTACGTTAGACGTTTCAAACCATTATGTTGAATTTTTCAAAATTTTTATATAAGGTGTGTTAAGATGAAATTTGTATCATCAATTAATTGAAATATTGTAAAATAGTACAATTTGTTGACCAGAATAAAGATTGGGACATATTATTCAGTTACAACAAGAGTGGTATTGAGCCTTTAAATGTACAACACTGGGTGAATTGTTAGTCTACTAAACAGATTGTCACTCTTCACCAAGATAATGTACAGTGTTAATAAATAACCTGTTTGTTTTGTAGATTATAGTTTGTTTTATGTGGTATCATCAATACTATATGTTTTATAGATATACAGGTATCTAATCTCTACCTGTCAGGTAATTATCAAGGTAATAATTTGTTTACACAGATGATAAAAAAACCTACAAGCCTCCAGCAGTACATGTTTATATTATCATATCTATAATAAAACATGTCCATCTAAAGTTTAACTATCAATAATCTAGTAAATTAGCCATTCATTTACTTATATATTAATAAAATAAATATCTACATGGATATTAGGCCAGAAAAAAAATATCAGTGATAACGGTCCCCCGATCAACTATCTTTTACATTTTTTTTTCTTATTAGGGTGAAATGGTATTTGTCCTTGATAATTATAAGAGGATACTTAGCAAAATGTCATACTTTTACAATAAAACCAATGACTGTTTCCCATAATAGATGTGTTCTGGTAATGTGTTTCTCAATTGCTAAATGACACTTAAACATACATTATACAAGAACTAAATCTGCCTATCGCAGGTACATGTACATGTATTTCTTTAGGCTTAAATGTTATATAAATTATTAATTAGATATTAATTAACTTATCAAGACCATAATCAACTATTGATGCCATCGTATGGATCCGATATTAAGTAAATTTAAATATGTTTTGTGGTTGATGAAATAATCAAGACTTTGTTTATTATCATAACAACCGTAGCAATTACAATCAAGGCTATAGTATTATTGTATATTCCCTTTTCATTACCGGTATCTATTTTTTTTAACTATTATATCGAGAAGTATCAGCTCTTTATCTAATCTTACATGTACCTAATACCCCTTTAAAAGATTATTTTTTCTATAAAGACAAATCCTTTTCTCCATTTTCCAGGTCCTATGAATCTGTCCTGGCAAGTAGGGAATGAAAGTATCCAGGCCATACATGTAGGTATTTCAAAGCGATTCACCCAACATTTTTGGCCCATTAACTGTAAACATAGGTACATGTATATATTAAATTTGGCCTTATAAAATTTATAAACAGTTTTAACATTTATCATAAACCAAAGTCTCCAGTAGAATATGTAGCTATTCATCAACTTTAAGCTTATTTATCAATTAATGACCAATATGATGAATTTGTTAGGAATTTATACACCGATTTTGTCTTATTATACATGTATATTACATGTTGCTAAATCCTTCTGTTAAATATGAATGTTCCTACATGTATGTCCATCATTTTATGGGAGCGACAGACACTCGGTGAGGATGTCAATGGCTCACTAAACAAGAGGTCCAGGGTGTTTAATACTGCCTCGTCAATGCTACAGTACACGACGGAGAGACTGGGCAGGAAAGTGTCTAGTCGTTCGGATAGACAACAAACCAAGATTCACTATACATGTAATATGGCCAGGAAATTGTCCAGGAACGAATCGTCCTCAGGGACGAGTTGTCCGGGAATGAATTGTCCTAGAGCCCAGACCTTATAAATATAGTATTATAAGGTCAATGCTTGTACATGTATACAGGTACATGTACCATTTCCAGGATGTTAAAAATCCCTTGACAGTTAGATATGAAAATAAGAGTAGGTGGTAATACACTGTCAGGAAAAAAATTCTATCATAGCCCACTAGAGAGAGAGAAATGGGGTTTAACGTCCACTCGACACAAACTAGGTCATTTCGGGACTAATGCATGGTTTTAATTTTATTTTAATAATTTGCTTGCGCGTAGGGGTCTTTAGCAGTGGGAGGAAACCGAAGACCTGAAGAAAACCCAGGAGGTTGGACAGGCGATCCTACTCCTTGTCACATTCATAGCCCACTATCTGTATATTGGACCGGTTGGTGCAGAACAGTAGGACGTCCCCCCGCCCCTCCTCTCGCATTTCAGTTCTTACACACATGAACGGTTCAGATAACACTTGCATATTTCATACAATATAATAGCAGGCTGCATGTATGATATATAATTTTAACATGTACATGTATCAGCATATAATGAAATATGATTACCTAAAGATCCCCCAAGTTGTATAAATTATTGATAATTATCTATATACATGTACATGTAATCAACATTAATATACATATACACCTGCCAATAATATCTCTCATCATACAGGTAATTATATCAATGGTTTTAGATTTCACATACATATATCAAAAGAGAAAAATATAGGTACATGTCCTAATAGAAGATTGTTACTGTTTAATATGTACTAATGGTACATTGTACCTGTTTATTAGATAGGAACTCATACACATGTATGTTACCTTATTTTTACAGTTAATCAAAGTAATGTTTCCTAACCGTTTATTAGAATGTATAAGTCTCAAGTAGTTGTATAAATATTAATATGGTACCTGTTTATTAGATAGAAATGTACATAGGTTACCTAATCAAGAGAGCCACTTGCTACATTGCTACAGTTACAGTGTTGTTTTCTAACTGTTTAATAACTGTATATGAAAGAACTTACTATACACTTGTTACTCATTTGCTAGATGTAACCCAATCAGTAATGTATGTTATCTATTTAATTGTATAGTGTAGTTGATATACATGTACATACATATGTATAACACTGTTTTAAATGTATATTGTATTATTGTATATATACATGTATATACAGGGTTAATAGTATAGTGTATATTGTAGGTGTTATATCTATGATTATATATATACACACAGGGTTAATATACACTATAACCTGCAGAATGTATATTGTACATATCAATATACTTGATTAGTGTCATTTATTGGACCAATATTATTGATAAAGCAAATGAAGTAATAATATATATGTAGGACTGTGGATTTATTTTGTTATATAAAAGGCATGTTGTAAATATTTTATATATAATGCATTATCATATTATCCATGGATTGGGCTTAAACAGTACATATAACATTTATACTTTTCTGCTACATTAAAACAGCACCCTAATACTTTTCTTTACAATAAATTTAATCAACTCACCCGAAACACTGACAACAAAGGTTCCATTTCTTGGTACATCGGAATTTAGACGTGGATCTAGAGTAATTTCCCCTCTTCCCGATGTGGTGTTCAAATGCAACAAATTGGCGCCGTTTCCAGATATAAACCGATATTCCAAGCGGTGTCTGTCCGTCTCATCGGGATCAAATGCTGGTATACGTCCAATCGATGTTGAAGGAAAAGTATCCGCATAGTTGTTGAAGATGATCGTAAAATCTTTTAAGATGGGCGGATTGTCATTGACATCTTGTACATTAACCAAAATAGTAGCAGTAGAGAACTGGGTGTCGGAGGCTGCTCGGATAATAATCTCATATTGCTTCTTATCGGATTCGTAGTCTAAATCTGTTCTCGTTATAATTGTGGCTGGGTCACCACGTCTACCAACTAAATCGAACAAATCGGCATCAGCTCCACCTACAAATTTATATTCAACAAGGGCATTAACTCCTTCATCTGGATCCTCAGCAGTGATCTTTGCAAGAGTTGTGCCAATTGGACTGTTTTCAAGAACCCCAACTTCAATGGTATCTGCTTCAAACTTTGGTCGATTGTCGTTTACATCCTCTACTTTCAATTTGATGTGAACAGATGTTGAAAGACGGGGTTCACCTTCGTCAACAGCCAGAGCCACCAAGTTGTAATTTGCAATACGTTCTCTATCCAATTCCTTGGCAACACGAATAACCCCAAGAGCACGGTCAATATTAAAGTCTCCATTACCATCACTGCCACCAGTAAATGTGTAATAGATTTGACCGTTTGGGCCTTTATCTCTATCCTTAGCGGTAATCTGAATAACGCGACGTCCAACCAAAATGTCTTCTTTCACAGTACCAGTGTAAACCACTTCTGAAAATTCGGGTTTGTTATCATTTATGTCCCTGACAATTATGTCAATATCAGTTGTGTCACTTTGTGCCGGATTGCCATTGTCTCTTGCTGTCACTGTCAATGTGTAAGCCGGACCGGTCTCGCGATCTAGGGCTTGAATTATTCTGATTTCACCTGTATTGGCATCGATGGAGAAATCTGAAACAACACCCAGAAAGCTGTATGTTATGTCGGCATTTTCTCCGCGATCTTTGTCCAAAGCAAAAACTTTGAAAACGGATGTACTGACATTGACATCTTCATCGACACTGAATTGATATGGTATACCCTGGAATTCTGGTTGGAACCGGTTAGTGTCCGAGATGTTGATGAAGACTTCTGTGGTGTCAAGGTTACCGTCTGGATCTTGAGCGGTAACAGATAAGGCATAACGATTTTGAATTCGGGCATCCAGGTTTTTCTGAAGGGTAATAACTCCCATATTATTGCTTGTGCTTATCTGAAATGTTCGACCCGTGTTACCCCCACTGATGTCATAGATCACATGACCATTATCCCCCTCGTCTTTATCAATGGCTGTTACTGTAATAACTGGAGAACCAATTCTTGAATCTTCTGACAAAGTCGTTTCATAAAATCTCGGCTTAAATATGGGAGCATTGTCATTGATGTCCCGAACTGTTATGACAACGCTTGTCGTAGCGGTTAAAACATTGGCACCATTGTCACTTGCCTTGACTTTGAATTCATATTTCTGAGACTTTTCTCGATCTAGTTTTCCCGTAGTTGAAACCCATCCTGATTTTTCGTTAATCTCAAATGGCATATCTACTGGTTTATCAATAATACTGTACGATATTTCCTTATTAAGACCAGAATCGAGGTCAAATGCCAACAACTGAACAACAGGGGTCTGAAGAGGCGCATTCTCGTCCACAGATTCCTGATATATGTGACCGTGGAATTGTGGGGCATTATCGTTCACGTCAATCACCTGTACCAAAATATTTGTGGAATTTTTCTGTGATGGGTTTCCGCTATCTTCCGCTCGAACAGTTAAACGATATTTCGGGAATTGTTCATAATCGAGAGATTTAATGACGTGAATCTGACCGGTTAAGCTATCAATGATGAATGTCTGCATGACATTTCCCGTCAAACTGTAGCGAATTTCCTTATTGGATCCTTCATCTCTGTCTGTTGCTGTGACGTTGAGAATAACAGGTTGGTTTGTGATATCGATATCTTCCCTTACACTAACCACGTACGAAGCTTGGGAAAATTGAGGTTTGTTATCATTCACGTCTAAAATATTGATGTCAACAGTGGCGGAGCTTGTCTTTCTAGTGCTTATCTCCCCTTGATCAATGGCTTGAACAACCAGTTGATATTTGGATTTGGTTTCACGATCAAGTTTAACGAGATTAGTAATAATGCCGCGTAATGGATCGATCATAAAGTCATTTGTGGGATTCACAAAACTATATCTGATATCCGCATTTTCTTCAACATCGAGATCTGTTGCACGAACCGTTAGGATGTTTGAGTCGGTGAAAACCTCTTGATTTTCAGAAATATTTCTAATGTAATGCTTCTGTTCGAATTGAGGAGCGTGATCATTGACATCATCAACAATTATTTTTAAACTGGTAGAACCCGTTTTGACATCTCGGCCATGATCAGAAGCAATAATTTGAAAATAGTGAACTTCTATTAATTCTCTGTCTAAACGTTTGGTGGTATTGACGGTGCCCGTTGTCGGGTTTATCGCAAACATGCTTAAACTCCGCTCATCTCGTTCCGGTATCATTGTGTAAGTTATTATTCCTTCGTCTCCCTGGTCCGCGTCATGAGCCGTTATAGTCTCTACGATTATTCCAGACGCTTGATCTTCCTTGACATGGCGCACATACACCGTCTCGTCAAATACTGGCGCGTTGTTCACCACGGCACGTCTAGAACGTCGCGACTTCCGCAATAAAGCTGAATAATTTTGGGTATCTTTGGGATGAATTATGACTTCATATGGCACAAAAAATGTATGATGATTTGGACATGAGAAAAGCACATTAAAAGCTAGAGAAATTTCACTGCTGAAAAAGCACCGTGTTAACAGAGTTTTAATTTGTAATGAGTTTGGGTTCACAGTGTAGTCCGATGTTCGAGGTATGTCTACGCTTATAGAGCACTTTTGGTAAATGTCTGGTATAAAATCTAAGAGAGATATGATATGCTGCCCTGCAGGAATACATCTATTTATTTCACTATGTGTTACAATATAATGCGTTCCGTCTAATTTTAATCTTTGTGACTTCCATGAATTAAAATGCCGACAGTTTTCACCTTCCAAAAACACTTTCACAGGTGTCAGCGTTCGGTTGGTTATAAAATTTAAAATTCGGTGTCTTGAAATTATTCTAAATTCCAGAATATTATTGTTTATTTTTGAACACTTTGGTTGTTGTTTTAAATAAACAATACCCGAACTAAAGTCTAACTGTATGTATGGCATTGTGTGTTTACTAGAAAATGCATCGATATCGTAACTCCAGTTTTCGCCTTGAGTGGCGTTGAACAACACTGTTCCACCGGGATCATTTTCTGATATATGAATATCAAATGAAGAGACAAATGATATTTGAAATAAAATTAACAATCCGATAAGAGAAAGTTTCAACATTCCAGAACACTTTTTAACGTCCATCCGATAATTTTGAATTTTTTTCATTGAGCAACAATGAAAAGCAACACAGTCGCACTTGCTTTGATTAACGTGAATCAACTCCATGCCTTCTGTTTCAGACGAGACGCGGGTTTCACACTTTGAAAAGATATAAATCACTTTGATATCCAATTAAAATTAAATATATATTGCGCATCACGAAACGCAATAAAAATATACTAACTACACAACCATAGAGTATTTTCCTTTTTCACATTCTGTCACATGAGTTCACACAGACGACATTGCTGCAGTTTTCAAACTAACACCATTCGTCCGTAACTCAACGCTTCAAAATGGCTGCATATTGTCTCGGTAGGTAACCCGGCTCTTCTGTTCTCCTCCCCAATTTCACAAACATAAATATATAAATCAGTTATGAGCCTTCAGAAATAATGATAAATGAATGATTCAAGTTATTCGTAACCAATACGAAACTATCTTAATTTTTAGACCTTGGCAAACAAATAAGTGTCTGCGTTAAAAGGGATAAAAATTTAATGACTAATTCTTTCGTGGAGGAGGAAGTACCAGCTTAGTCACGTGACACAACAAAAGGTGTACAGAGCGTTAATATTACTCCGAAGTGACTTCTCCCCAGGTAGATTTGGGCAGGGCAATCTGTTGTGATTGAAAATTTGCCCCCTGGGTATATCATTGGGTCGGGTCACTAAATTTCTCTTTTATAATAGAGAAGTATAGAACGAGTCACTGACCATGAAAACTCTATTTAGGTAGAACCGTCAGTGTCAATAAATTGCCTTGCTGGGAGACAGAATTTGATCAAGTTTGAAAATTAGTCGAAAGCTTGTGAAATGTTACGTAATTTTATGACCAAATTGATTGAGATAAACCCAAATGTAACAATGCTTTGTGTTCTTTTAATGTATTTCTTGACTGCAGTTAAAGATCAGCAGATCGCTTCATTAGTCGTGATCACTCTGCGATTAATTTCTGTAGAACAAAATAGAATAGGGAAATTGTACACCATTTACTTCACAACGACTCCTAATTAAAAACGTCTTTAAAATCGATGGCCTCGTTCATTTGTATCTTATCTACCTTGGAGATGAATTCTTAATATATACTTACGGTACTTACATCGCTAATGTATGCAATTTATCTTACAAATCGAATACAAATGCGAAACGCCTCCGCTTCGTCTGATTTTAAGATACACAATGCAGTTTTCAATTCTTTAAATTTACTTTTAATTGCATCTCGGACAATAATGGCTAACAGTTTTAGGATGGTTTCATATTAGTTATTTTTACGCGTATAAAAATAACAAAACACTAAAAAGCTCATATTGTATGGAAATGAATACAATACCTTTGTTAAAGGAAGATACGATTCAAGACTTTTGAATCAAATTGAAGCTCGCTATCAGTTATAAAGTTATAACCGAATCTCGTATTTCATAAAGCGACCCGATGAACAAGTGTATACGACAGACTAGATATTAAGTAATAAATACCTTTGATGATTATGTAGGAAGATAACAGAGGTACGCTTCTATTAATGTCGAATTCAAATATAGTACTTAGTCATTGTTATGTATTTCATGCTTGATTTCTTTGAGAGATTTATTAGAAGTAAGGCTTTAAAGATAATTGAGCTTATTAGGTTAACGGTAAATAAATCAATAAATATTTTTATTGGAGAGCTGGGTTAAATGTTCATGTTTTGGTTTATTTAATAGACAAAATTTAATTCCAATCCGAATTTGATTATAAGGAGAGAGAGAGAGAGAAATGGGGTTTAACGTCCACTCGACACAAACTAGGTCATTTCGGGACTAACATATGGTTTTTAATTTTATTTCAATTATTCGCTTGCGCATAGGGGTCTTTAGCAGTGGGAGAAAACCGGAGGACCCGGAGAAAACCCACGAGGTTGGACAGGCGACCCTACTCCTTGTCACGTACATCCGGGGATTCGAAACCACGCCAGTCGACTCAATGGCAGACTTTATGATACAGCGCGCGCACGCTAACCATTCAGCCATCCACCCCCCCCCCCCGCTGATTAAAAGGAAGTATTTGTTTAGAGTCCTGTTATAGCTACATTAAGGGGGCATTAGGTAAGATTAGATACAGTTGGAATTCGATATAAGAGTAGGCCTTAGAGCCGCTGTCCGGGCAAAATTCCCTCATAGCACACTGTATGAGTATGGCGTACGCCCGTCTTCATTAGTCTCGCCGGAGCAGGGCAGTAGGACGTTAAACCCATCTTTATTAGCCCCATTGGTAAAGAAACGTAAGACATTAACCGATATTTCATTTCAGAGTTTAAATGTTTTTGTTCAATAGCCCACATATTTGAAGAACCGTTTAACTATGGATGGTCCTTTCATTTAAATGTTTGCAGGGTGGTTCCGTGACTAAGACGCTGGCTCGCTAGCATGGAGGTCTTGGACTGCTCCCGGTGTTGGCGTGCACCTAAAAGATCCCTTGGCAGTTGGAATTCGATAGAAGAGTACGCCTTAGCTTATAGCACATCAGCCCGTCTTATTAGCATAGTTCGTAGCAGACCAGAAAGATCATAAACCCCATTTCATTTCATTTGAAGAATCGTTTAATTATCCCTGGTCCTTTCATTTATTATTGTGAATATTCATGATCGTTAATTGTATCTTTCATGCTGAGACCTCGAACCGATTGACTGACATGGAGGGCATTACGTCATCTCGATAATAATTAAACCCAATAGTAAATTAACACCTGTTAATCTGGTCTTTTGGGAAATCAATCAGTGAAGTCTCGAGCAAAGAGTCTGGAAATAAATAGCCCTGGGTTCACGTTTGATCTTTACATGCTGTTGCGACCGAGTTGTCACCTCCCCCCTCTTGAGTTGTCTTTGACTGTAGGAATAGCCTTTGGCTTGTTTATGTTAGTACTTTACCTTATAACGGCTTAACGCATTTTATTCCTGTTTGATTAATTTGATTAGCTCGGATTATCTGAATTAGCGTCGTGTTAAGCCAATGATTACTATTATGCCCCAACTGGGATAATAAACACGGACATGCGCTTTGTGGTATGCCTTCTCTCAGTTGATTTCTTTTTTGCATCAAAAGGGCTAATTCAAACGGGCAAGCGCCATGTAGTGGGCTACGAGGGAAATTTTTCCCGGACAGCGGTGCTCTACAGCCTCCTTTCATTTCGACTTCTTTTATGCACCACCACGGCTAATAAAAACGGACAAGCGCCATGAAGTGGGCTACGAGGGAAATTTTGCCTGGACAACGGCGCTCTACAGCATCGACTTATTTTATGCACCACCACGGCTAATAAATACGAACATACGTAATGCAGTGTGCTTTGAGTTGATTTTTTGCCTAGACAGCGGCCCTACAACCGCTTCTCATTGTGATTTATTTAGTGTACTATGAGGGTCATTTTGCCCGGGCAGCGGCGCTACAGCCTAGATTTATTTATTGATGTACCAAAAGCCATAATAAAAACGGACAAGAACATGTAGTGAGGTACGAGGGACATTTTGCCCGGATAGCGGCGCTACAGCCTGTCTTATTTTGATTTCCAACTGAAAGGGGATCTTTAACGTGTTGTTAATGTTATACACGGGAACCATGTTTTGTAGCTTAAAGAGGGGTCACGGTGGCTAAGTGGGTAAGACGCTGGCTCGCCAGCCTGGGGGTCGGGTGTTCGATCCCTGCATTCGCTGAGAAAGTTCATTCAGATTTTCCGGCGTGGTTCCCCCTTGTCAGTGATGCAGGATGGATGGTCTGACAGCTGTCTAGTTGTTCGGATGGGAAGAAAAACCGAGGTCCCGTGTACACATGGCGTGCACGGCCGTAGTGCCACTGTTCGGGCAAAATTTCCCTCATAACACACCTTATAGTGTATGTCCCTCTTCATTACCCCAATTCGGAGCAGATCAGTAGGACGTTAAACCCCATTTTATTTCCTTTCATTTCTGTAGCTTAAATACCCCCCCCCCCCTTTATCCCTCTAGTGAAAACCCCACCAACATCCTACAAGCATTTCCTTATATATGTATTAGGAATTTACCTTATTATAGCTTAACGTGTCTTATTTCTGTATGATCCATTTGATTATCTCAGATTATCTGAATTAACGGCTTATGATTAGGTTAAGCGCCATCAGCCACCCTTTTCAAACTTTTAAGCGGTATCATCTGTACCCAAAATAATCAACACCAGGTACAATTTTATGGATACACAATTACTGAGCTTAATACTAATCGCCTTTAACTTTATATGAAAAGAAATGAAATGAAATGGGGTTTAACGTCCTACGGTTTTGCTCCGAACTGGGCTAATGAAGACGGGCATACGCCATACAGTGTGCTATGAGGGAAATTTTGCCCGGACAGCGGCACTACGGCCTACTCTTATATCGAATTTCAACTGTTAAGGGATCTTTTACGTGCACACCAATGTGTACACGGGACCTCGGTGTTTCGCCTTATCCGAATGACTAGACAGCTGTCCTTGTCAGGCCCAAACTTTATATGAAATTGGTAAGAATACCCATATTAGAATTAAAATAATCGCCTGTTAGCTTTACGTGAAATTGGTAAGAATACCCATATTAGACAATAAAATAATCGGAGCCATGATGACACGGCGAATATGGCACTAGCCCTGTAACCATGACATCCCGGGTTCGATACCGGTCTTGTTGACCGAGAAAGTTCCTCCGGATTATCCAGCCAGGATTTCTCTTTTAGTGGTGCAAGGTGGGGGTTATATTAAGAAAAAACACCTAGTCGTCCGTATGATACGAAAAACTGAGATCCCGTATTGACCAATGTAAGCTCCTTACACCCCCCTCACACCGAGGTGACGTCCTTACTGCGCTGCTGCGACCGTACGGCGACTAGAAAATACAAAAGGTCGCCGACAAACGTGAACACAACGCGAGAAAATATCCCCCAAAATTAAAAACTTGAAAAAAGTCGAGTTTTCCAGGCCAGATCACAGAGCCTTGGTGTTTGCTTTGAACATGCCCAAAACAAACAACGTGACTCGGCGGTCATCGGCGTTCATGGAGACCAGAGCACGATATTTGGCGTTTCCACCACGCTTTTACGATGCATATGGCGATGTTGACGCGCTCTGAGACCATGTTCCGTCGCCGTAGCAGCACAGTAAGGACGTCACCCAGGTCTGACGGGGGTATAAAAGATCCACTGGCATATTAAAAACAACCGAAATAAGATTACACCACTGCTAAAAGACCCCCACACGCCGCAAGGATATTGTAATAAAACTGAACCATATCCTAGTCCCGAAAAAAGCTAGTTGTGTCGAGTGGACGTTAAACATCCACTCTATCTTATTCTT